TATTATTGCCAATTTTTGCTTTTATTTATGAAAAATATCTTCAAAATTTCAGGAAAAAAAATGATGAAATGATTCTTGAAATTCGTATTAATGTCTTCTGATGATATGTTGCTTAATTTCATTTTAGCAAATGATTCTTTGTCCGCTCAATTAATCGTTAAATGATGAAAGCAAAAAATTTCAAACGAAAAGAAAAAAAAATAGAAAAATTGATATTATATGGAAAATTTCCGAAGAGATAATTGCAGACGATATGTAAACAGGTTGTTGAAGAATGGACAGATCGCCTTGCTCAACAGATTTCTCATCATTTAGAATATTCATTTGATAAAACTTTGCTACAATCAATCGCTTTACTTTTTCATTCCAATCGAATTTTTATTTAACCGTTTCTTTCTCTCTCTCTCTCTCTCTTTTTATACACAATTCATTTCATCAATGAAATAAATTTATTATGGGTAAAATAATTTTTTTATAGTAATGTCTTGAAAATAAAACAGGCTTTTTTTTTAGTTCAATTATTTCTTGAAATTTGATATATCAAAATAATTTAATTATGAAATTGTTGACATGTGAAACAGCTTGCATAATTTATTTTTTTTTAATGGGACTGATAAAAAAGTAGCAAGAAAAAAAAACTAAACTTTAATACTAATTGTAAATTTTCAATCTACTAAATTAATCATTGTTTTGTAATTTTGTCTTATCAGATTTCTTGAAAGATTTTAACAATGAACAAACCAGGAAGTGCAACGAATAAAAAATAAAATTCTTAAAATTAAAAATTTTAAGTTTCTATTGATAATTTTCCATATTGAAGATTCTCAGTTTATTAGGTTGAATAAGTTTTTAAGAATTGCAACCATCACTGAATTATAGTTCGACTGATAGATTAGTTGTTGACCCAAATATAAAGTAAATTAGTTTAAATTAATGGCAATTATTTATAATAATAAAGAATGTGAAAAATATTTTCTGAATAATATCATCACTCAGTTTTAAGTCCTCTACCAAAAATTATGCCTAGTTCAGGATTGATTTATCCAATTTAAAGCTTCTTATTTACTGATTATTTTTAAATTCAACGTATTATTTCATTTTTTTTCAGAATTTCCAGTTATTTTAACAAAATTTATTGCTTCATTCATTAAGAAAAAGTTTTATAAGCTAATTACATTGATGAAACTATGCAAGATTTTCCAATTTTTATTTATTTTTGGATTCTGCAATATGACGATATGCTTCTTTATATTACCCGGAAATGATAGTGCACGTTTTCAGCGAAGGTTTAATAATATCATTTAATGATTAATTAATTAAGTCAAAATAATTCATTTATATTTTTCTCAAAAATTTTCGGTATATGCATGTATGTTCAGCAAATTTACTTCAATTTGTACAATAATATGAATGATGAAACCAGTTTTCAATTTCTTCGAAAAATTTCTGAAGCAATTTTTAAGATCATATTTTACATCATTGGTTTAACAGTAAAAAATAAATCTTTTCGTGTCTTCAAAAAAA